TACACACATCTCACATTTTTTTAGTTGATTCATTACTGTAAGTAATTACACCAAGTTTGCTCATGTTCTTTATGGATTTAAAATTTAAGTGTGTTAATCTATCATGCCATAAAGAGAAAGAATCAACAGTAGAAACTTTTCCTTCATTAATACTTAATTTGAACATACCATTACAACCATATCCTTTTCCAACAAACATCCAATTCTTGGATAAGATTAGTTTGTCGGATTCAAAAACAACTTTGAATCCCCTCTTATAGATAAGATTTACTAAGACCAAGTTCTTTCTAATGTCAGGAACATAGAGAACATTCAGGAGAGTTAGTGTATTTCCAGAGGTGAAGTTCAACTCTACGCTGCCTCTTCCAGCAACTTTGTCACATGTTTGGTTTCCCATCTGTACCTCCTGGCCATCATTCACTTTTTCTTATGTCTTGAATAAGGACTTGTCCTTGCAAACATGGATTGTGGCTCCTGAATCAAACCACCATCCAAAAGACGATTCTGCCATATTGACTTCAGTAATCATGGCCACTAGATTGTCTTCTACCATGTTTGCAGACTTGGTTCCGCTTTTTCGATGTTGGCAGATTTGGGCATAATGCCCCTTCCTTCCATATAGCGGGATCCTTTCTTATTGTTGCTCTTCTTGAAGTTCCCATCCTTCTTCTTTACTTGTAATGCAGGGTTAGACTTCTTCGATTCATTTTCCACAAAATTGACCTTAGAGTTTAGCATACCGGCCAGGGTCTTACCCCTACTATTTCTAATCTGAGACTCTTCTTCAATACGAAGGTGTTGCTGAATTTGCTCCAAGGTAAGTTCTTCAGCCTTGTGCAGAAGCTTCTTCTTGTAATCCTTCAAAGAGGGTGGAAGTTTGGCAATGATTGCTCCCACTTGGAAAGATTCAGGAAGGATGATGTCAAGGGATTGAATTTTGTTGACTATCACTTGTAGTTCATGAACTTGCTCCAGTATGGGTTTATGGTCGTTCATGGTGAAGTCAAAGTATTCTGCAATAAGATACTTATTCGTACCTGCTTCTTGCACCTTGTATTTGAATTCTAGGGCCTTCTAGATTTCTTTTGGAGATGTAAGTTCTTTGTAGAAGTTGTAGAGCCGGTCTGATAAGGCATTCAGTATGTGTCCTCAGCACAAAAGTGAGTCATCTTCTCATTTTGCTCTTTCCTTCTTTAGTTTTTCTGAGTCTTTGTCAGTGGGTTCAGGAAGTGATTGAAGATTCGGGTCCAACAGATAGTATAGTTTTAGTTTGGTTAGAAAGAAGATCATCTTGTCTTGCCATCGGCTGAACTTTGCTCCATCGAACTGGTCCAGTCGAACAAGATCTTGGTTCATCATCTTGATCGAAGTCATGCTTGCTTCTGCCTCCATTGCAGAATAACGTTCTAAATTTGTTGGGAAATGGGGTCACTGTAACTTTGGAGAAGAAGCTCTGAGGTGCGTCTGAATACACTGTCTTTAGAACGTTATTTGCCTCCACTTAGTTTCATTGAGTTTGTTGTTGGGTTACAGGAAAATCTGTTCCCAGGATACAACAGAGCCTTGGGCAAGATTCTGCAACCAACAAGGTTGAAGAATCTCTGAAAAAACCTTCTATGAGACTATAGCAGACCGGACTGAGAGAGAGAGAGAGAGAAAGTGGATTTCGAAAATGTATGTTTTTAAAGTTTGATTCAGGCTCCTTACATTAGTTTATGAAGAGGTATGAAGAAAAGGTAGGTGCTGGTTCAAAGAAGGCACCTTGAACAGTCACAATTTCAAACATTGTGACTGTTTAAAAAGTAGTTAACAATTAATGACTGTTAACTTTGAATTGTGCCTCTTGATCACACTCGGTCGAATCATGACTGTTGATCTCATCAACGGTGATCAACGGTCAGCATTGCACCAAAACCAAAGCCGCCCTTCGTGAGACACACGGGTGTGTGCGAAGTGCGAACAAAGTGCACCTCTAAAGTGCCTCATTGCGTCGCACAATGCGTGCATTGCGCAGTATTAAACCTCCATACTCTCTACTATTTCAAAGGAGTGTAAATCAACTCCTATTAAAATACTAAAAACAAAGCTTATAATTTTCCAATGTGGGATAAGTTCAAAATTGGGTTTTGTAAGAGAAAAGCTAATTTTCCAAACAAGTGTGCAAGTGCAATTTCTCATGTAATTGACCAATCAAACCCATTGGATTTAATCTCTTATGAGATTAAAATCCAACAAAAATTGTAGGTCTCTCCATTCACTCAATTGTCAATTATTGTTGCCAAATATGGGGCCGAGGGCAACAAAGTAATATCCTTAGCGTCCACAGCCGACTAATCTGATTTGTAAACAAGGGAAGAGCACACATCTGAGGCCCCAAGTGTTATCCCAGGGGTGGAGACTTGGTCAAATTATTCAAATACTCAAAGAGGGGTCAGACCAGGCAAGAGGCGAAGGCTTAGAGCTTAGTCCTTAATGACCAAGGATGAATCTCTTGGCATTTTGAATGTGCTTACCTTGAGGTAAGTGCCCCTATTAATAACTAACCTTGCCTTAGGAGTGGTTGGAAGAATTTGGTGATGTGTGGCCGGGATTTGATTTGGTCGACACCACGTGGCATGATCTGAGGCCCCCACTCTCGAGGTTGTAGTGGTCGAGGTCGGATGGCGTGTTGTGTGGAGGCCTTGGCTTTGGCTGAAGAGAGTACTATGGAGTTGCGTTGAGGTGTCGACCTAGGCTGTAGAGGGTTCTTCTTGGCGGCTACTTGGCGACTGCTTCCCTACTCGTCCTCCATCTCAGTGAAGGATCATTATGGGCCGAGAACACGAGACCATGGCCGACACGGGTGCAAGACATCTGTGTATGTCAATTGTGCCCTATACAAGTGTCGACAACATCTGGTGAAGGTCCATACGTGGGATGGGTGTTGGTGTGGACTAGTTGAGGCTGTATGCGGAATGTTGCAGAGGGGTGTCTGGTTTCGGTCATTCCTGACCTGGAGCAAACAATCAAACCGGCTCCCTCCTTCGGTGTCGTATCATCTCCCCGAGGTCAATGACACGTGTAGCTCATCGATTTGGGCTATTAGATTGGCTAGTCTGCGGCTGTTGGATCAAAGAGATCTGAGTCATACGTTTTCCTTTAAGTAGGGAGGCTGGTTGGACAGGTCTTCACCATTTTATCGAACCTTGAGTCTTCACCTGTGATTGTAGAGACCTCAGCTACTAACAACCGATTCCCTAAGTCTTCCTTCTTTGAACAAACACTAGGAAAAGGACTCCCATCATCAACATGTCGGCTTCAGACTCTGGATCTGAGTGTTATTCCCTTCCCAACTGGACTGACCCCAGTAACTCTTCTTCCACCTCGGCCAGTAGTGGGAGTGATAGCTGAGCGCATCCAACGGGGGTAAGCTCTCTCAATGAAAGTACTAGCTTCACGAAGCCGAGGGCTGATGCCATGGGGAATGGTCCTAAGCTCCCCAAAGTGCTAGATCTTGAGGAGGCTAAGGAACCAACTCCCGAGGAGCAGGCTGAGGCCGCTAGCCGAGATGTAGCGTTGGTGCGTCATCCCCGCTATGATTTTGATAGTTAGCTTAGCAAAGAGCAAGTGAGGGCTCTATCTGAGGTGTATCATATCCCAGGGGGCTATACAGTTAGAGTCCCCTGTGTTGGTGATCAGCCGTGATGGCCCACTGAGGGGGAGGTGTGTGTGCATGAGCACTACCTCCACTTCAGCCTTCATTTTCTTTTACCTCCCCTCATCCTAAAAATCCTCAATTACTACAACATTTCCCTCAGCCAACTTGCCCCAAATGCCATTAGGATGATAATGGTCGTGTTGGTGATGGCCTACCTTCGAGACGTGCCTATGACCCTAAAAGTCTTTTGAGGTTTGTTCACACTAAGGAAGCATCCCGATGGGACAAGTTTGTGGTACTTCCAAGACCGATGGGGTAGGGTAGTGAACGACCCATTTCCGTACACAACTAAAAGAAGAAATTCTTCTTCATTAGCTGCCCACAAGGATGGTTCTTTTGGTTTGACTGTAGAACACCAGACTCAACGGCCAAGAGGATCAAGTCGTACAACAGTGATGAAGAGTCAGCCGTGATGAATCAGATTTGTTTGACTGGGACAATTCATGCTGGACCTTTAGTGGCAGAGGATCAGGTTTCCGGGTTCTGGCATTGTTACAATCCATGTGTACTGGACCATTGATGGCCTTCCCGTCATCCTTGGTAGGCTCTTTGAAATCTGACGAACCAAGTACTATTACCAGCATTTAAAAGAATTCATATCTATGTCCCACAAATGCCCCACAGCATATCCCAATCGTGTATTGGGAACATTTCCCACTGACAACATTGGGAGATGTTCCCAATGCACGCTGGGATGTGCATGTAGGGTATTTGTGGGATGCGAATGTGATCTCTATTCAAAAAGTTGGCTAGGTCCAGTTCAACTTGCAACTTTGTAAAAATGGTAAGTCACTTAACACGGGAGGTTTTTGTAATTTACCTTTTTATTAATTTAACAATGGATTATGTACTGAAACACTATGGATTTAGAAAAATCTACCCTAAATTTTAGGTTTTATTAGAAAACCCTACATAATTGGAGAGGTAGCTTTTACAACTTTGAGCAGAAGAGGTAAGAGAATATTATATATCCTCCGTATGAATATTGCTGAAATGCACATCTGCACAATTTTGTTCAAAATCCAAAATCCATTGATGGGATTTAGTTTTGTTTTTCATGCAAGTAGCTAGGTTCAATTTTGTTCATTCAGAGTGTACGTTAGCTTAATCTGGCCTTGTGTGTATATATATATATTTCTTCCTGCAATATTTTGGTACTGAATTGCCAAGGCTTAATTCTTAGGGGATGTCGAAAATTAGAATAAATTAAACAACTAGAAAACAAGAAAATAGCTTGAATGCCCAAGGATAAAGACAAAAGGAAAAGAAAATTGTATTATATAATTTTAGAGATGATCGACAAGGGACTTGTTTTTCCTCTTCTTCAATTCTCTTCCACAAGAAAGCTATTTACATATAATGGCTACTCCTAAGCTTTACAAAATTTTGAACGGGGGCCAATCAATTTCTTGGCCCCAGATGGTTGCTAATACTCATAAGCCATTCAACCGAAATGTGAGATTTATGAAGGCATCCTCTTGGCACGGGATTGTTAGAGCACCCATTGGATGATCAAATCCGAACTCTTCTTCAGCCCGACTAAGCAAGGATTGGAAGGAAGGGTGGTTCAAATAGGATATGGGAACCACAAACCGCTTCTTCTGGGTCTCTCCCACATAAACAGCCAAATGGCCTTTTGGGACATCTGTGGCTGCTGCTGCTGTTGATGAAGTTGATTGATTTGCAGTAAGAAAAGAACGTCGAAGAATCATCTTGGCATGAACCAATCCAGGCAAGCGAATGCCCATGGCTTCTATTTTCAGATATCCCTAGAACAAGGAGAAGAAGAAGAATAACTTTGAGAATAGAGATAATTTGCAAAAGTAATGACCTGACGTGAGATGGCATCGAATGGTATGCATGTATATATATAGATGGACCAGATAGAATTGGAATCCTCTCAAAATATTATTTAGTTAGGGATGAAGACACAGTTGCATGGACCATGATAAGGGACATAATTAAGAAGGGTTTCACATGGTTCTGCTCCCAACTCCATTATTATGGCTATAGTTAGGTCTGGTATGGTTGTTCCACTTTCACATGAATCGGTAGGTAAGTAACATAGGGGCCCCTACAGCATTGTAGTACAAAGCAGATTTGACCTTTGGTTTTAGGATACAGCTAGCTCTGACATTTTATTTGAGTCACAGACCTACTAAAGAATGACCAGTGATCACTAGACAAAGACAAGCCATTTGTTGGCCAATGTTGGTGTCGGTTTAAACTAGTGGGTAGAGCTGCATAAGCACAAACCTACACCCATGGTAAACTCATTGCCCAAATCCCACTATAACCTCAAGTCAGTGGCCTGTATACATCGATCTATATCTCTATGGGAAAATAAATTTGTTAATAACTGATGACAAGCGTGTAGTTACATGGGCAACGAGGGGGGACATGGGTCATGACGTTATGGTTTCACATGGCTTTGCCGCCCCGGTCAACTATCAAGATTGGTGGGACTAGTGGTGCTGTGGTATATATCCTTAGGAAAAGTACGCTGCAGCTCACTGTGGAATTCTGAATTCCACTACAGACCTATAATAATTTAAAATGATAAATATCCCCTCCCTATACACTAATACACATAACTATGAATTGGCATCAATTCCAAGCTCACACTTATTCTAACTGTATGTTGGGCCAAAGAATTCTAATGCTGGGCTGAGCCATCATTCACCCAAAATCTATTTATCGGTCAAACTTCCAGGCAAATTCTTTCTTTGTAAGACTATCAACTCTTATATGGATATGTGGTCCCCTTTTTCAGTTTTAGTTTTGAGGTGCAATTTGGTTATCACAAAGACTATATGTGTGTCAACTCCTTGTATTTGATGAGAGTGGAGCAACACATGTGAAGACTATACATAATCATCAGTTGTCCACTCTTCATGTCTGATCAAGTGGGTTCAGTGGGACATGGGACATGAAATAAATTTTACTACATTTTATTATTGAAACAGAACAATCCATGAAATAAATCTTTAAATCTATCTATACTATCTATAAAAGTGTGAATAGGTGTCCTAACTTCTGAAATTTTCATTAGACGTAAAATACCTTATTTGCAAAGTTTCCATGCTCAATCCTTGAATAGGAGAGGCTTCAACATTATGTGTACAGACTGATACAAGGGCAGATTCGTTCCTTTGCCATATGCTTGTGTTTTGTCCTTGTTCTAGTTCAGTGGATACCCGACAAGTTCAAAACAATGGTCTCGTGTAAGCTTAGGTTTCTTACAATGTTCACGTTTTACTTTGGGATTTGTCTGGGTATTGGGATCCAAGCGGTTCTTGGAAGAATTTGCAAAGAGCGCCGCTCCAGTATCAAGATCTGCATTGGTCAGTGTATTGATGACGGCAAGATGTTTCTCTTCCTGGACAGCTAGATCGTATGCCCTACTGACGTTGGGCAAAGGATCCGATCCAAGAATGTTGGATCTGAATTGCTGAAGACATCACCAAATCCCATGAGGATCTGATGTAGTTTCTCATCTTCTCTCATGGCTACAAATTGTCTGGTGACGGGTTGTCGAAGCCCTCAAAATTGATACTAGTCCCACAATAAAATATTTGTAGCAAAAGTGGTACTGGGTCGAATCCCACAGGGAGCTAAACAAAAATCTCTTAGTCGAATGGATAATATAATTGAGTGGGAAAATTTAATAACTAAAATTAAAAGAATAAGAAAGCAATAGCAAACTAAACAAACAAAAGAAAATCAGTCTTACCGAATTCT